TGGCAGTTTTTATAGTGTCGCCTGCACTCCCGCAGCCGAAGACTTGGCACGCACAAAGCTCAATTTGTAAAAACTCCTTTCCAAATTTCAAAATTCCACGCCCGTCGAGACTGTATCCAATCCTCTGCATCATCTTATTAACTTGTCCTGATCCCTCTCACATCCATCCCAAGGAACTATCTTCCAGATTTGTGCGCCACGATTTGCTTCCTCCGTCGGGTGTAAATATCGGCGTGGGCGTGTATCTGGCGACCAGCTAAGGCCAGAGAAAGTCGACAAGAGGTGTGGTCATTGGGACTAGGATGTACTAGGTCGTACTTGTAAACTTGATGAGGTTTAGGTAGGAATCGATTTCGTTGGGAGTGAAAGATTGATATGGTGGAGTAATTTGAATCATTGCCTCGTGGGCCAACTTGTTCGGTATTGCGAAGTTTGACTGAACTTGGCTCTGGGAGAATATTTCACTCCCAGGTTCGTAGAGGACACCGCGTACAGGTGTTCAGTCCTGCCCTCCATTACGTATCTTGTTTATATCTTGTCCCGTGACTTCTATCTTGTATACTCTCTCGCTCCGTAACAGTCACGACATCTTATTGCAGCCCGTACTGGCCACGGCAAATTCGCGGCGTACCATCGTCGCTTCAACAATCCACCCGCCATCACAGAGTGCATCTATGGGGAGGAAACCATCCCTACTCACTTCATATATTGTCGAATCAACGCAAACATCACGCGTCGAATCAGAGGGTCATTGTCACACAGTGCCTTCTTACTCAAGCTACTCGGACCTAAGTGCTTCGAGAGCTTCAAACAATTTGCGCAGGATACCAATTGTTTTGGGTGTTCTCATGTGTATCCATCTCCTACTCCCAGTGGAGATCGAATATAACTCGTAAGGAAACTAAACCTGACTAAATGGGAATCTGTGTGAGAAATATTGCTTCCATTTCTAATTTCTTTACAATTTATATTTTTCTTTTGTCGGTTTTAGGGTAAGGAGTTTGCGGCGGCGCATATTTCTAACCGACTGCTGGTTTTGTGGTGATTCATGCGGTGGAATCAAGCTGGGTATGTCTTAGATGTAGTCCTGGCTGTGAACACCGGTCCTGTACTCATAGTGGACTTGGAGCTTCAGCTTAGGACTTTAATAAAACAACAACAACAATTTTTTGAAATTCGAAAATCACCAATATCCCCCTCTTCTTCCCTCTCGCGCTCGTCGCATTCTCACAATGAATTGTGATCGAGTCGCTGGCATTTTTAACATACTACCTGTTCGAAAAAAGCTCCCAAACGCAATGTTGGACAACGCGAGAGTCCGCCCGAGGGCTCCCGCAAAAACACCAGGCCCCACTCAAAAACTTTCAAGCATGTTTGCGAGTGAGGCCTTCATGGAAGGGAAGTCCCCAAACCTTCCCGACAAAGAGATGACTGATTCTGAGCCCGTCAGGTCAGCAAAAATTGGTCACGAAACCAAAATTCCTATCGAGCTTACACCAGAAGCGAGCTCCTCAAGGAAAGAAAAGGAAGTCGTCCGAGAGAAGATGACAGAACACGCAGAAAATTCTGCAAGAAAATTCGCTGTGCCACCTTCCAAAGGCACAGCTTCGAGATCAGCACCGGAATAACCTCCGGAGCTATAATTAGTGATGGAGGCTGAAAAGCGTCGCACGACGCAAATAAAAGCCCGTCTAGCAATCTGTTCCACTGCAATAAGCAGTGTTGAAACAGTACTCTCGCCTCTCTCGATTGGCCAAGAAAAAGAGTTTGTAAACGGTATCAAAGTCTACCTTCGAGCGGCCATTGGCCAGTTCGTACAATCAGGCCCAGGGAGCTCTCCTCCAGCTCTCCCTATGCGCTCCAGAAACCCTCCTCCGCCAAGGGCTCTTGAAATAAGGGTATCTGACCCTTCAACAACCCAGGTTCCGGCCCAAAAGACAACTTGGGCGAAACTAGTCCGAGCAGGCCTTGGACACAGCACTGGGTCATCAACGACATAGGTAGCCCTACGCGCCCCAAAAGCAAAGGGAGCCAATACGAGGACAGCGGCCGAGACACGACTGTTTTTACGCCTCGCCCACGACTCCCCTCGCCGACTTCTGTCACCAGCTGGCGTAAGATCAGCTGTCTTATAGGTAATCGGTACCGTAGCAAACAATATCACGTTGGTTCAGCGGGTAAAAACAGGCTTTGCACTGACAGCAAAGGATGAACTCGCTCGGAAAGAGCTCCTGGATTCTTCTGCGGCACGGAGGGAATCTGGAATCAATCTGGAACCAGCATCAAACCTGGTTGCCCTTCAAATTGCCACCGTCCCACTGAGAATTAACACACTCACAGGTTCCGTTTTATCAACGGAAAAGATGGTCGCCGACGGAGTCACTCGAGTGACCAAATGCCAGATCCAGCAAGTTCGGTCCGGTGAAAAAAGAGCAGCTTGGGATGATTCGCAAGATCGAGCAGAAAAATCACGCAGATTTTACTCGCATCAGAGCTGCAGCCAAAATAGCCATTCAGGCGATTCACGGCGCTAAGAATGACGTCTACATGTCAGACGGATCAGGTTTTGGGATTCTGGAATCCGAAGAGGAGGTTTAAGGTTGCGGCCAGCCTCAGTGAAGTCGTCGAGGCTTCAACATACTAACAGTAGGACACCGGCTGGAGAAATTGTGCCTGTTAGCTCACCTTCTGCTCACAGCGAAGGTCAGAAATTGTGACATGGAAGATGTAACAGGAAAGGGAACAGGCGAGAAGCGCGGGATCCGGATTTGATTGGGATTTCTTCTAAATTTGATTTTAGTTTTGCTGTTAACACCATCATTTATGTGGAAGTTCAGGCGGCTGGAATGAGTTGGGCCTGCATACAGTGATCCTTACCGGCTCCACCGGTCCTGTACCGACAGTAGGATGTAGAGCTTTTTACTTTAGCTCAGGACTTTAAAAATTCAACAACATACATGTATACTTGATAGACCAAATCCAAATTAGATACCTTCCATCACTCGTTCCATACTCTAACAACGACAATAAATCGCACGATAGTATACAACATGAGTATGGGATCAGAATCGTTGGATGAAAGTCTACACGGGTATCAAACCAAACCATGCACTAATTGGGTCTCAAGCATCAAACATGCTCAATAGGTGAGATATCAATCATCTTGGTCGTGAGTCAGGTCGTAAGTCATGTGTGAGAATCTTAGTTGTTCAAATCATAGGGACACTTCAGACATACAGAATATGAATTTTGTTTGGATTAGACCAGGGTCAGGAAATACAGAGATGCTCGGATATGCATCAGGCTGCTGTTTCTCCTTGGAGTTTAATCCGAAGGTCTATAATTCAAAATACGAGAGGTTCAGCTTTGATACATGGTGTTAAACTGTTACATCAGTGCATGTTTAGCAGTTACACAGTTCAGGGGTGTAGATGCATGGAACATGTTTAGCATAGGAAAACACCACTATCGCGAACATTAATGTAACATTCTATAAACAGCACTGTAACTAGATCTAACTCAAAGATTAAGTCTTGATGTGTTGCTAAGTAGATGGATGACGTATGAATACTTTGCATAGATATGTTATAAGTGACCTAGACCGGAGGTAAAGACGGGCAGGTTCTATAATAGGCACATCTTTTGATATAATCAATTATCTTTCATCTACATTTACATCTACACTTTTATATTTTCTTTGCAATACTTGACGTATATTTACACATATCGACATCTGAAAATCCATAATTATTTTATGCCTGTTGTCCGAGATTACAAAGTCGATCAAAATTCCAAAACTAACTACAAGCAGATGTTATAGTCTGCCGAAGAATGGACAGAGTGGGAGGTAATCACGCTGAGACAGTTTCCAACTCGAGAGATGGGGTTTGGAAGATATGGATGCGGCGCAGGGCACCGTAACTCAGACATTTACTGCACCACTCTTCTTTTTTCCTTTCCCTTTGTCGCTTCTGGCTTTAATGCCGGTCATGTAGGTAGCAATGAGCTCTCAGAGCCCATCTATCCGTGTCACGTCTAAATAGATATTGGGTCCGTCCTGTCACGTTAAATATATCAAATTCAAATTAACCAAGGGTGGAAAAGACCATTTCTTAACCTGACAGCCGTGCCGGTGTAGGCGCGTAGTTTGCTCTGCACGTTGTGGATATCCAGGAATAATGGCATCCGAACCTGAGTCGATATTAAAAACAAGCACATCTAAAATCAACGACTAACCATCAGCGTTAATCTTATCTTTCTTCCGTGATTCTTCAAAGTTACTTTTACCAAAAAACCCACATGCCTCGTTGACTGATGAAGGATTCGTTCCAATTGCAAACGATAATTTGCTTCATAAAAAATTGCCATCTCCCATTATAAAGTTACGATGCTATGTATACCCGAAAGGAGGAAACCAAGTTGTAATATGCAAAGCTTGATTCTTGATTTGTAGGGAACGTTGTCTGTATATGACTTTACACCTCAAGTGAAGGAGGATATTTAGGACGTGCAGTGAGACATAGTAGCAGACTTCGGTGTTTACGCTGGGACTACCATTTTTGTGGGGGTTTCGACTTTGGGCGCTCGTGAGAGCCAAGGCACAGACTACGAATAGTCCTATCGACACTTCAAATTCGGCACACACCACGTTTGCTTCGGCAGATAGAGGTTGAGAACCGACTTTGATAATTACGGCAACGATTGACGCAAGTCAATCGTTGCCGTAAAAATTGACTCCTGATAGGTAACATCGGGCGATAAAGGCGAAGCGCAGGGCACCGGACCTATACAGTTTATTTTTTATGATTTTATCCTGGGTCTTTTGAATTGGCCATATTGGTTGCATTCACACTTTCTAGATCAAATTCCGGTGTCATGTCAAATTAGATGCAGAATTTATGACTGGCACGTTAAGACCAAAATAAATCAACCAAACCTCATACACTTCTACATGATAATTAATGGAACGTTATAGAGATCTAGAGAGGTAACTGATTCAGTTATTCAGAGTTATCCGAGGTTACTAAATAATTAATCCAAAACCGTATACCTTGAACATTTGCTTCCCTGCACAATATTCCCTCTTCTTCTGCCATTTCCAGTTCTTCTTCTGCTATCCCTATGCTCCAGTTGAAATTTTCAGCTGTTTCTTGAGCTGTTATACCACGACCAAAGCTTTGCCAATCCCAAGAAACTTCCTGATTTGGTTGGTTTGTGTAAAATTCTTCCATCCATGCCTTAATTGATAAAATTATCTTTTGATCGGTATGTTCACTTCCTTGAACTACTAGTACTCCACTCTTGAATTCTCTTAGACGAAAAGGAATCCGCAAAGTCTCCCATTGACGAGCAGCCTTAACAAAATCGTTGGGACTAACAAGCTCTACACCTCCTCGAGCTCTATTAAATTTAGCCCACAAATCTACGAGACTAATTATTCCGCCAGACTTTCGGAGGACTCCCCTAGTATCATCAGCTAGAAATTCCGCCAAGTTCCTGGTCAATTCCGTTATATAGAGAGAGCCAGAATTGTTTCCAAGCATATCTTTTGTTGTAACAAGGCCAAGAGCACAAGCTACGGCATTTGACTCCGAGTTTAAGCTTTCGTTTGTGGAAGCAAAAGTTTCTGCAAGGTTTATAATCTCTTGTGCTGATGCCATTAAGGCTTCAAGGTCTTCGAAGGCGCTACCGATAACGCGCTCATTGTTTTGACGCTCACGAAGTCTGCGATCCTCGAGGCCAGCTATTCCGATGGTCTTGAACGATTGACTTCTTGCTGTATCTGAGCCTGTTACCCTGTCTATCTGAGGTGTAGGTACTGGCGGAGCATTATGCGATAGCCATTTTCGTTGGACCATGCTACCTTTGAGTCGCTCGTGGAAAATCTTTTCTCCACCTCCCCTGAAGGATAACTTTACATTAGTGGTGCTTGAGTGGGAGAGAGGATTCACTGTCGGGCCAGGTGATTCTGTTCGACATGATCTATTGTCAACCTCTGTTGGGAATTCAGCCGAAATCAATGGAGCAGAACATAGTTCGCACGTTAATAGCGATGGGTGGTTAAGAAAAGTGCATCTCGGACACTGGAATGAATTACTGGTATCTGGCCTGACTGTCTGAGATCCCTGCTTTAGATAAATGGCTGTAGATGAGTTTTCTTCGCTCTTACTAAGGGAAGATTTCATGGATACTTGAGAGGCATTTGATATTGCAGCTTTTAATATTAATGTCCACGCAGGTTTCACACCACATGTCGAGCACGGAGCTACCGGTGTTCGTTCATCTGCAGTTGTAGGGTCGAAATTTGAGGGAATTAGGTTGGAAAATGTACAGATAGGGCAGACCCACGTTGCGCTACTCCGTGGTTTAGGGTTGTGAGTCAAACCGTTTGTTCGTGGTTGGAAATGAGTAGACCCGCTTGTGCTGCCCTCGCCACTATAAATTGATAAGCTATGAGCAGAGTTTTGCTTTGATGGTCTTTGGATGAGAGTGATTTTGGGGGAAGATTTCAAGAAACCTCCCTAGAAGATGTCAGCGTAATTTATTGCTATTTATTTGTTAAGTGTACATAGAACTCAAATCTCTCGACATTTTTCAGTTCAATTGCTATACTATTGTTCCGAGGTTCTTTATTATCAACATAGCAGATACGATGTGAAGTGAGATAAACTTGTCCATTTTGGTAGTTTGCTAGTTTGTATTTACTTAATTTGTCAGCTACAGTGTCCATTCCAGGCCATTAGGCAAGTTTACTTACTCCTCATAAAGGCCAATGTTATCCTGGGTAAATAGTAAGAGTTCCCCGGGCAGATAAAGTGGTCTTAAAGCAGTTGTTAGTTCAAGTTGTTGTAAAAACATCCGGTGTTCCTAAAATGATCGAGACTGGCTAAGTACTCGACGTCAGATTGAGGTTGGTCAGCGTGGGCCTTCGGGCACACTGATAACGTAAGTTGGGGTATTCTTGAGTGCGCTAGTGGAAGTGGAACCCAATTTGTTCTGTGCTAGTGTTTGCCACGGACTGAGCAATATCTCCCTCACACTCCGTTCAGAACACCGATTTACGAACTAACCATCCGCTCCTAACGCGTCTTTTGAATGTTCTAGAAAATGAATTCATCTTGGACCAATTTAACCCCCCTTACAGGTACTCAGCAAGCTTATGGATATATTCAAAGTAAGTATACAATCATCAATGGGTATCTAAACGCAACAAATATCTTACTTCGTTCTTTAATAGATGCACCTGCTTACCACACCGTTCAAGTTCGACAAGCGTTTAACCTCTCCGTTCCCCAAAGCCAGCTCGCAACACAACCACCAGCTCAATTGGCGACGGCGCCAGAACAAAGTCAAACTCGTCGAAAAATAGATTGGCCGCAACCTGTTCGAAGCTACGTACAAAGATCATTTGAAACTTGTAATCTTCTTGAGGATGTGACCCGATCTGAGATGGAGTCTAAGCTAAAGGAAACCATTACAGCTGCAACTGATGAAGATAAGCTGGATAAAATCGATTGGAATAATCTACCCCTACCACAGGAAATGATTAGAATGGGGCGTTTACAAGTAACTTGGCAACAGGAGCCCTCGGAGCAACGGAATGCAAACGGATGTCCTAACCCTACACAGAACTCCAGGAAAAGAAAGTCTCAAGAATTAGGACGCGGAGAAGATGCAAACATCTTCAGTCGAAATCCTAATAAAAACCTTGGAATCGATGAGAGTAGTACACGTGGCAAGAACCAAGGTGAAAAAGGAACAAGTAAGTTACAGAAATCATTTGAGAAGCGACAGCGCCGTTGCGATGGAGGGTATAAAACTTACAAGCCCTGCTCAATACCGGAACAAAGTTCAGGACCGGTCGTTGGAACTTGTCAAGTCCTCGAAAAGCGATATTTCCGCCTCACCTCTGCACCAAATCCAGCCCAAGTCCGACCTGAAGTAATCTTAAGGCAGTCCTTAGATCTTCTAAAAAAAAAGTGGAAGAGAGAAGGCAACTATTCATACATATGCGACCAATTTAAGTCCATGCGTCAGGATCTTACCGTTCAGCACATTACTAATGATTTTACCGTAACCGTTTATGAAATTCATGCTCGGATCGCCCTCGAGAAGGGAGATCTTGGTGAGTATAACCAATGCCAAACCCAGCTTCGAAATTTGTATGCTCAAAACTTGGGAGGAAATGCGGTGGAATTCAAGGCGTATCGTATCTTGTATTTTATTCACACATCTAATCGTACTGCCTTGAATGATATGTTGGCAGATCTAACCACTGCAGAAAAAGAAGAAGTGCCAATCAAGCATGCCCTCGATGTTCGCTCGGCGCTGGCTCTCGGAAATTACCATAAGTTTTTCAGATTATATCTCGACACTCCTAATATGGGTGCATATCTTATGGATATGTTCGTCGTCCGAGAAAGATTGGCAGCTCTATCCAATATATGCAAAGCGTATGTAGTAAGTTAAAACGCGGATGAGGTTCTAACAGGAATTAGGTATAAGCCAGATGTCAAATTGCGGTTCATCACAGAGGAATTAGGATTCGAATCTGATTCTGATGCTGCTCAGTTTGTTTGTGACCATAACGGTCAACATCTGATTGAAGAGAAGTTGGGATCTCTTCTCATCCTCACAGGCAAGGCAGGCTCTTTCTTTGAAAATGCAAAGAATGAAGCCTTCCGAAAAGTGGATATCAAAGGCCAAATATGAAAAATCCCTGTCGAATCTTCCCCCCCCCAACGCGTTATCTTTCAATTAACACCACATCTCAGCCACTTTCTGATTTCGAAGCAGTACTACACGAGTTTCGGAGATCCCAACAAGTCAGTGGTCCTAACAACTTATTTGTTGATACTAAAATCCTTTTTGAACTACTGTTTCCCTTCCTTTTGATGGCAACGAGGATTTTAATGATCAAAGCTCTAGCTTGATGACATCATGTCCCAATACTAGCTACAAAAAGATTTTTAAAATTTAAAGCTACGTCTTGGGTGTTCTATGTTGTACCGGTATCCGTATCAGTGGATATACGGGTGGAGTTTAGAGGTAATTAATTTTGTGGTGGCGGCGCGAGGCTCTTTTAATTTACACTAACGGATCTTCTACGGGTATCTGGATATACTTGGAGCTAGGTGTAAATTACAACGCTCAGATCCAACTCATTCATCCCCCTAAGAGCTTGATGTACTTTGCGTAGGATTTCTCATACAAGAGTTGGTCACAATAGCATCTCTATAAGTAAATTAATAAATTTAGATGTTTGTGATCAGCAACTTTAAATTCTTCCTATCATGGGCGTTCATAGTTGTCAAAATCCACTCATCAATTCTTGTCATTGTATTCATAAATTACTTGAAATTGCGCGCGAACATAGACGTTAGTGTCGTAGGTAATTCTAAGACTTTACCCACTGGAAGTTAACCAGTATAATCACCTATGTGTGGTTTCATCTACGGACCTGGGAGTGCAATATCCTCTCGGAGCCATGATTCCCGTATATCCTGTAGGTACATTAAGTTTCTACCAGCTGGTATATAAAAATGAGAAAGAAGCGATGAATAACTATTTGTTGGAGCCCCAGAATGCACAGATCTCGACACAAAAATCAAGATAATGCTAGAACATTAAATAAGTTAGTCCCAGTGCTTTTTAATATTACTTTCCCCCTTGGCTTAGTTTTAATTTTTTTTGTGCTACTTGAATTTGTAACTTTCTAGCAGATTGGGGTCCTCTTTGACCTAGGCCACACTTTGTACAATATTAATACCCTTAATTGATATGAATGAAGATCTCCGATATGATACACGTGTCAGGTAACCATTCAGCTCAGTATTTTCTTAAGAAATTCAGCCATTTTTTCCAGGGAGCCTTCCTCAAAAAATTATAAAAAGTATTATTGGATTTTTGTTTTTTTTGTTGGTATATGAACGTACTTGGAAATTAGCGCCTCCCGCGCTCCTTTGGGAGCTTAAGCACAAGTGAGACCGGGCTGGATAAGGACTATTACCATTGAGTACGCAAACCTCGTCAGACGGGGATGACCGGACTGTGTAAGAGTTTGCCCATGTGTTGAATATGTCGAGTCCAACTGTCCACAGAACCCGATCTTTACACGCTGAAGCGCAATTTCCTGCCCAGACTTGGCCACTATGCGTCCGCACCCTCGACATCCTCCCAATCTCGAACTTGTTCTTTACATTCAGTCCTAGTTATGCGTCATCTATACATCTCCTAGTCTTATCCAGAGGTCTTTTCCTTCATTAGATACATTCTCCAGTCGCCCATCGAGGCTTCTTCGGGTTGTATCCTTTTTCTTCCACCGTATTGCTCTCCTTAAAACTCATATCAACATCGCCATATGATAAACTTTGCAGAACGCGCACCCCTCCGGCCTTGTCCCTTCGCCGCCGTACCCATAATCGTGGAGACCGAATATAAGTTGGGGAGCTCGAGACTGAGTTACCGATGCCTGAATCTTTCTCGGATTCTCTAGTAGATGTGTCAGAAGTATCATACTTATTTCGTCCGCGGCCATTCATCACAATTCCAGTTGATGGTGCCCTTTGCCGAGATATAGACGTATGCGAAGCCATTACTCTGACCGTGACTTTACTTGGCACGATAGTTGCAGTGAAATAGATTTCCATGTGTATCTTTTACTGCGAGTAAGACCTTTAAATCACAGTTGATAAATGTGATGTTTTATTGTGCTACTTGAGCCTTTGACTATCTAGCACATTGGGCTATTCTCTGGCCCAGGTCACACCTTGTACAGTGCTCCTTGCCTCTTTTGTTACTTGAAAGATCATTGATATATTCCCCTTGATGAATAGCCGTTCGACTCAGTGTTTACCCGTGGAATTCGGCCACCTTTTCCACGGAACCTTCTACCCAAAAAAAATGGTAGCAATGGAAACTGCGTGTGCAGGAAAAAGTCTCAAAAAACCCGAAGCCCCAGCCAGGCGAGGCCTAGACACCGAACCACATGAGGTGCGCATATTCATCTACATCTCCCTCCTTTGTAACAGTCGAGGCCGACTTGATCCAATCCACCATCTCTGCATCGTGTGTAGGGTACGCTCCGCAAACTCATCGGATGGCTTTTCCTCCATGATCAAGGGTTGATATGAGTAGGGCTCCGACCCTAGCATCTGATCCGACCGTGGTTGGCTTTATAATAATGGTGATAGGGGAATATGTAGAGAGATGAAGACGATAAAGACCGCGCAAGCGATTGGGAATCCTCGTCAAAGTGAGGACTTTATTCCTCAATTTCGGCTCTGCAGACTCTACAGTCAGAGCTGGAGGTTCGTAGGGGACACCACTGACAAGTGTTGAGATCAGTTTCCCTTGCGATAAAATATTACCCCAAAGTCGAGATTTAGTCACAACATAGGGTGGATTTGGGAGCTTTCGTCGAGTTGGCGATCGGGAGGAGTGGTGTTGGCTCATTTTTGGTCCAAAATTCGACTTGCAGAGATTTTACGACTGCACGACTGCACAACTCAACGAAATCAACCATCTACACCCCAGATACGAACCGCAGCCAGGCTATAACCTGTCTGATGTTCATATTACAACAACTGACACCTTCAAGGTCTTAATTTCTTTTTCTCTGGAAAATCATTCCCAGCTATACTCATCTCGCGACCCCCTTCACAATCAGCCCATTACCTAACGAAGCCATTCCATAGCTCCAAAAGTCAAATCGCCATCAAAGAAGTAAGAAGATGTCCAACCCTTCGCAACTGCCGGTTGCTATGCAGGTAGGGTCAATATACCGGCCTTAAATGCGTCCTCACCTCAGCCAAGGGCTCCAACAACTCGACCTGCGACGAATCGCCACCGACGAAATACGTACGACATTTCACCGGCACACCAACTAGAGTATTCGACAAAGGCTGGGGCAGTGGTGCCTCGGTCTTGAGCTCTCGGTTGCGTTTTCGACCTCCACGGTTAGGGGTACGGCAGCGACGGGGCAAGGCCGGAGGGGTGAACTTTTTATAAAGTTTCTGGGATGACGAGGCTTGCTAAAGCAGAAAGGGATACTGTATTGGGGTGTTAAAGGGGATATAAACTCAGGAGGCCTTGGTGGGCGACTGGATGAGGCCTCCAATGAAGAAAGCGACCCCTGGATGAGATGAGCCAAACTTGGGACTGAATGGAAGGGAAAAGTTACAGATGGCGAAGGTGTCAAGGGCTCGGGCGCGTGGTGGATGAGGCTGAGGGGGGATTTGCGCTTCGGCGCGTCAAAAGAGGGTTCTCTGGACGGTTGGCCTTGACATAGTTCAACACATGGGTGAAGTCTGAGGTTGTCCGGTCATTGAAGTGGGACGAGGTTTATCTGTACTTCACGGTAGTTAACCTGATCCAGCCCTGTCCTACCCGTGCTTAAGCTCTAGTAGGAGTGCAACGGTAGTTACTTTACCAAGCACGTTAATGAACAAACCAAAGGAGGGCAAGACTGAACACCTATACGCGGTGTCCTCTACGAACCTGGAAGTGAAGTATTCTCTCAGAGCCAAGTTCAGTCAAATTTCGCAATATCAAAGAAGTTGGCCCACGAGGCATTGATTCAATTTGCTCCTCTACGTCGTTTTCTCACTGCCAACGAGTTAGACTCCTACCTAAGTCTCATCAAGCCTACAAGTACAACATAGTACATCCTCATCCCAATGACCAGACCTCTTTCCGACCTTCTCTGACCTTAGTTGACCACCAAATACACGCCCACGCCGATATTTATACCCGACGGAGGAAGCAAAGCGTGGAGCACAAATCTGGGAGATAGCTCTTTGGGATGGACGTGAGAGGGATTAGGACAAGTTAACAAGCTGATGCAAAGGAAGGATATAACCTCGAAGGGCGTGAAATTCCGAATTTTGACAAGGAGTTTTACAAATCAGGCTTTGTGCGCGTCAAGACTTCGCTTGCGAGAGTGCAGCTGACACTATAAACACAAGCCAACGATGGAAGGTGTTGTGGTCCGCCTCCTGATGGTGTTCTCTGGTATAGTTTGGGTAGCCTGGGCACCTACTCCACTTGGGAAGGAGACGCCCAAGACCATATTTCGCGCGGAGAAAAATTGAAAGATGATGGGGGCATGTCTGGATAACTCAGGGTTTTTGAGACGTTCCCCCGGGTGGGTATTCAGGGATGATTCTTGACTTGAGGTGAAGAAAAAGCCACCATAACTTCGCAGTGGTACTTGCAAATAAAATCTGAGGCATAAGTGTTCTTCCCATACGTTGAATCATCTATCCTGTATCTTTCTTTGATATTGTTTGTTTGTTTGTTTCCTTTTTTGAAGTCCTAGGATATACCTGTTTTCCCCTGACGGTCTAAGACCGGGGTTTACAGCTAAGATCATTTCTATGCCTTGCCCAACTTATTCCCACCACGTGAACCGCTACTCAGATAGTAGCCAGATAAATTACATGCAGCCACATAAAAAAATAGAAATCACAACAAAATTCCAGGCTCCAAAACTTTGAGCTCCAGCTAAATATCTGCACTTGTGGTTGGGAAGCAAAACTTCCCGCCTCGTTCCCCTTCCGATCGAGTCATGTTACATGACTAATTTATGTGGACCTCGCTGAGAGCAGAGGTCCAGCCTGCAGCTGATCACCCACAACATCGGGTTTTCTGTGCTAAGTTTTTGAATGCTTCGAGGCACTTGGGTCCGAGAAGTTCATGTGTGAAGTCGTCGT